TCCCCTTTCTCCACATCCCCGCCAACATTTGTTGTTTCCTGTGTTGTTAATTTTAGCCATTCTGACGGGCGTGAGGTGGTATCTCATCATGGTTTTGATTTCTATTTCCCTGATGCCGAGTGATGTTGAGCATTATTTCATGTGTCTGTTGCCATTTGTACCTCTTCTTTGGAGAAATGTCTGTTCATGTCTTCTGCCCATTTCTTTACTGGATTATTTGTTTTTTGGGTGTTGAGTTTGATAAATTCTTTGTAGATCTTGGATACCAGCCCTTTATCTGTATGTCACTTGCAAATATCTTCTCCCATTCTGTAGGTTTGAAGGCAGCAATTCTTAAATTTTTGATCTCAGAATCGCCTTATACTTAAAATTTATTGAGAATCCCAAAGAATTTTTGTATGGACAATATCTATTAATATGTACCAGTTTAGAAATTATTACTGAAAAATGTTAATTATTAATTTGGCAACATAACATAAATTACGTGCTATAGGTTAATGTAAACAACATATTTTTATGAAACGTAACTATTTTCAAAACCAAAATAATGTGCATGAGGAAAGTGGCATTTTACATTTTTACCAACTTCTTTACACCTGGCTAAGAGAAGACAGCTAAACTCTCATATTTGCTTCTCTATTAAATCTGCTATGACATCTTATATCACGTTGCCTCTAGAAAACCCCACTGTACACTCATGAGCGTACAGTGAAAAAGGCAAAGAATGTCTGAGAACTCCTCTCGCACCTCGACTCCACTGTCCACACAAGCTCATTTGTGCTCAGCATCCTGTGTACATGCCTTGCAGGCAATGAGTCTGACTTCCAGAGCACCAGCTGAATGGGTTTCAGCAGAGTCACCAGTGCGACCAGAACAGCTGCAATTGCTTATCTAGTTTACAAAAGATTTGATGTTAAAGATCACTGCAGCAAATCTACAGTAAACCTTCAGATCCAGAAAGACAACCCCAGTGTGTGCTGCCATTGTGGGTGGTCCAAAAATTCCCATTCTGTGATGGATTTCACACAAAATACAATGAAGAAACTGGAGACAATATGAGACTTCCGGGGCGCCTGGGTGGCTCAGATGGTTAAGCGTCTGCCTTCGGCTCAGGTCATGATCCCGGGGTCCTGGGATCGAGTCCCGCATCGGGCTCCCTGCTCCTTGGGAGCCTGCTTCTCCCTCTCTCTTTCCCTGTCTCTCATGAATAAATAAATAAAATCTTTAACAAAAAAAAAAAAATATGAGACTTCCGATCATAAAAAGAAATTTAAATGGAGAGTTTTAATTCTGCAAACCAACTTTTCATGGTTACCTAATTGGTTTGTTGTTGTTGTTTTAGTTTTTATTATTTAAGTACAGTTGGCATACAATGTTATATTAGTTTCAGGTGCACAAAATACTGATTTGACAATGGTATGCGTTGTGTAAGACCCACAACGATAAGTATAGTTACCGTCTGTCACCATACAGTTATTACAGTATTATCGACGATATTCTTTGTGCTATACTGATGACCACCACTTCTGTCTAGTGCACCTCCCCTGGGTTCTAGTTGGGGTATATTGCAAACTGCTGCTTTCATATTCATGGCATTTACCTTATTTGTTACATCATGGTACAAACTTGTCCAAATTTAAAGACAAGGAAAAGGAAAAAACAACCTCACGGTCTGTGAGTTATTTTAGTTCTGTGAGGATCTGTTTCTTTATATTTCAAATAATGACATCAGAATATAGTTGTATGTTTATGTTAACATATTAAATTACTCTCAAAATTAAAGAAGAAAGAAAAAGAAAAAGCAAGCAAGCAAGCAAGCAAGCAAGCCTGGCCTTACAGCTGCCCCCAAAAAGTCCCTGATGATACTTTGAGAACCAGTTGCTGGCTTAAAGGATCAAATTTGTCTTAAATTAGAGCTGTATAGCATATATGGCTTACAGTTGGAAGGAACCGTTTTATGTATCAACAGAGAATAGGGGTAAAGCAAATCTCCCCTCTGTACCGCTGGGCTAGCCTGTTTCCTCCCCAACAAGCCAACAACCTGGACCCTGATGTATGGACAAAGTGTAGGACAATCTCAAAAGGGAATTGCTGTGTAAGAAGAGAATTTGGTGGTCTGCCTACTGGGGCTTCCCCTTGTACTAGCCAAAGGAAAGGCCTTCATCATGGAGGCTTGGGCAGCTCTGGCAAACACAGATAGGACTGGAGGACCCACTCAGTGGCTTAGGAACACAGAAAAATCTAGAAGCTTGCCATTTGACACACACATGAGGAATAAACAAAAAGATATTTAATAAATCAAAACACAAGCAAACAAACAAAACCTCAGGCCTTCACATGTACTCAAGAGATGCTCCTTCACCCCACCCCTTTCCCAACATTCATGCTACCTGGAAGATCCTGTCACGCAGCCCCACTCACTTTCTCAAGAAAACCTATCTCCTACAAGAGGAAGCCTCACTCCCTGGCCCCTCTCAGAGTGCCCAGCCTTGGGTGGTGTCCTAATTTCAGCTAGGTGAACACAGATGTTCCCCTCTCCCAGTTAGATTCCTTTGTCAGGAATTGCCTACTGTCCTCACCACTCGTAGGTATTTGTTTTTGACATTAATCCTTGTACTGCCCCCCCCCTTACTTACATAGATGAGTAGGGAAGGGCACCCTAAGAATCTGGTTTGGCCCTAAGTGAATAAAAAGTTGTAATTTCAAGGCCCTGGCCCAAGTCTTTGTGCTACTAGAGTGGCTACCAGAGGATATTGGTCCTGCAGCTTGAAAGGGCAGCAGAACGGATCCCCAATCTTCTGCATTAAAGAGCCTCCAGGAAACAGGAGGGTGAAGAAAGATCTGTCGCTCCTCAGCAAAACAGTGTAAGTGAAATTTCCACTAACAGCAGACCTGCCGATCAGACAGTATTTAGGAAAAGATGCCAACTCCTTAAATTGGTTTTACGTTTTTTAGTCTTTGAAAATATTGGTTGTCCTCCGTGTAAGTTTGTGTCCTTGCCAACAGCTGTCCACAGGTACCCACCAAATTTTAAAGAATGAGAAAAACAATCTTCACTTCACAGAGAATGGGTTTGAGGAGAGAGCAAAGGTCACCAGACTTACCATAGCAAAGCCAGCCCTGGCTGTTTCTGCCACACCTGCCAGTGGTGTTCTAGTCTAAATAACACAGGCTTTGGTGAACATCTGCTGTGGGTTTTGTCTAGTGAAGTCCCTGAGGTGGGAGAGGGATGGTTCCTAAAGCAGCTGAACATCAGTAGTTAGGGGATTAAACTTCCTCCAGGTGAAAGCATGAAAACTGGGAGCAGTAAGAAAATTTCCTTCACTGATAGGTTGGACCCCAGGACAAGGAAATGAAGCAGAAAGTGGAGCAGGCCCTCAAGGGATGCAGCTATATGGGCACGCTGTTTTACAGTTGTTTCCTTGAACTCTGAGCATAGTTATGCTGAGTAATCCCTTTAAAATGATGTCCCCCTGCACTGTAATGGCTGGTGGCCGTCCCATCATAGGGGGTGTTTCACATGAACAGTTGGGGGAGACAATAGTACAGGCAGTAGTGGGGGGCCAGGCCAGAGGCAGGAGGATTGATCCCTTCCTGTATGATACTGTGTTTTCCTCTATCACGTCACTTTTTGTTATACTAAAGCATCCTGCTTGGTTCCAGAATAAAAAACAACTTTCTCTTCCTATGCTGTAATCTTTACCTTTTTCACCCACTAACTGTAGGAACCCGAAGGGCAGAAATTACCTTTTTTAATGTCTATTCGTCATCACCTAGCATCAGCTGGCATTCAATCAATATTTAATTGGGGGTGGGGGGGCATAAGATATTTTCCTCAAGGAGAAATCATTACATCTATTTGGTCCCAAATAATTAAAGTGACAACAAGAAGAAAGAGAACCAACAAAGACTGTTGTTGATCATACTGTGATTACATAAATGGCACGATTTATTTGTGTCCTTTTACTATGCATGTTATGTTCCCGGGGCAAATAAGAAAGAGGAACCTTTCAGGCCAATTAAATATTTAGATGATTAAGTATGCTTAACATTACCTCCTGTTACCAAAGATATGTTTATTCAAACAAAGGGACTGAAATAAAACGTGAAAAGGAAAAAAAAAAAAAAAAAAGGCCGGTGGCTCCTCCTCCAGACACCCCCCTCCCAACTGTGATGAATAGGGGGGACTTTTTCCCCCCCCCCCCCCGCCCCGGGGAGACACTATCCTTGCAGTGTTTTAGGCTGTTTTGAAATGCTTTTCTTTATTAGAAATTTTGTTTTCCTTAATATCAAAGAGCTGCTGCTGCTCGCGTGGCTGGCGCACCGGGGGCAGAGGACATCCGCGGAACCTGTCGGCTGGTGAAAATGCAGATTGATGATGGCGCGTCTAGGGACGCGCTTTCCCTGGTCTGCAAACGGCACACACTTTGAGTGACAGCGAATTATTCTCTACAGGCTTTTCCTGCGGGAAGCGCCACGCGCGGTCCTTCGGCTTTCTCTGAAAATCTGGAGAGGGTCTCAGACGCAGAAGAGGAGCCGGACGCGGCGATCCCGGGAGCGATTCCAGAGCCCGGAGACTCCGACCCCTGCCGTGCGCGTCGCCGCGGACCGGCTGTGCAAGCCGCGGGTCCCTGTCCCCGCGGGGGCCGCAGCCTGAGAGCGGGCGGCGGCGGCGAAGGGGCGATGCGGCCAGGCGTGTGCGGACTCTGAGCTGCCTAGCGCAGCGGAGGCTCCGGCCTGAGCGCCCCTGCGGAGCCTGCTCGCTCCCCGCCGGGCAGCTTTACCCGAGCCCGCGCCACCGGGCATCGGCGGCCCAGTCGGCGTCCGGGCGGGGCGGGGGCAGCACGTGCAGCACAACAGCTGCCGCCAGATGTGCCGGCGCCCCGCCGCGAGGCCGGCCCCCCCAGAGAGGCTCCCGCCCGCTCCGAAGCCCCGCTCGTCCTCGCAGCTGGCAGCCTTCGTAGAGAAAGCCGTCGACCCCCGCCGCGCAGGGTCGCGGAGAGAGGGCGCCGGGAGCACTCCCGGGCTCCCAGAGCGTTGCTCGAAGCGAAGCGCCTCGCCAGGAGGTTTGTCCCCGCCCGCTCGCCGTGCCGCGCGGCCCCAGGGGTAGGGAAAGAGCGCGCGGCTGAGATGGGCGAGACCATGTCAAAGAGACTGAAGTTCCATCTGGGCGGGGAAGCAGAGATGGAGGAGCGGGCGTTCACCAACCCCTTCCCGGACTACGAGGCCGCTGCCTCCGCGGTGTTCGCCGCCGGAGCGGCCGAGGAGACGGGCTGTACTCGCCCCCCACCCACCACCGACGAGCTTGGCCTCCCTTTTCACAACGACGGAAAGGTGAGTCGGCGGTCGGCGGTCGGCGCCGGCCGAGCCTTGGGCCGCGCCAGGTTGGGGGGGGGGGTGGCGATGGTAGCGTCCACCCGTCCCGCCCCGCCCCCAAGGCGCGCTTACGTCACCTCTTCGCGCCGGGCGCCGCGCGAGTCCCAACCTGGGAGCGCGAGGGAATCGGGAAGAACGGCTTGTGGGCGCACGTTCTGTTAGCAAGCCCTGCGTCCTGGAGGAAGGGTTATGGATTTCTGTTTTGTTGACAGCTTGCCTTTTGATAGGCGCCTCGTGGCCTCTCATGCCTTTGAAATACATTGATGAAGCCTCTGTTTCTTGGCACGTGGAAGTGAATATCAGGGCTGTAGTGGCGGTTGACATGCAGATTTATTTTCTATCGGGGGCCCTCGCACGCGCTCCATCCTCTGGAGCTGCAAGCGTACCCCCTGACAGTCTGTTCCTCGTCTCCCTGAGACCGATTTTATCATCAGGCCTGGCCCCTGGTCCCCTGCCCTTGGGATTTACAGCATAGGAACAACAACAACAAAAGCATTGTTCATAAACAGTAGTGTCATTCGGATTGGTCTTGTTTGAGTGCCCAGGACTTTGAAACGGGGTATTTGAACAAACGTTCATTTCGCAGGGGAAAAGTGAAAATAAAGGACGTGAATATCAGCATAACTGTTCATGTTTGGTAAAAGCAGACGTTTACCAGTTAGGTTATTGTTTTTTTCACTGACCTAAGTGTTCCAAGTCCCAATTCCCCTCCCTGGTTCCCCAATGTATTTTGTATCTTTAAGTCACAAGTAGCGTAAGAGTAAAGAGGTTTCTTAAATCTGGAGGAAAAAAAAATATTAAGGAACCAGCAACGCTTCAAAGAAAAAGTTGTAAGAAAAAATTATAATCTTCATCAGTTCATTCAGCCCCATGTTGTTAATTCTTGTTCTGCTCGAGTCCAGTTTTTTTCATTAGTTCTGGAAATTCTTACCTAGTTCAGTTTTATGATCTTAAAGTTAGGTGAAATCTGTATTCTAGAATACTTGCCAGAGTTTTTACCATTGTGTAGCTCTCTGAAGATGAAGCACATTTGCAGAAGGATCAGAGTAAAACAATGACTGTAAATGACAAAACACTTAAAAAATGGCCATGGTTAAAGATGTGATGAGAGTTCATTTGATAAAGAAATGTAGTTATTTCTGTGGTGTGAAACAGTTTAAGATAATTGGACATATTGGAACATATATCCATACACATACACCTGTTGAGGAGGAAGATCTTCCTTTGCCCTGTGGTCCTTCGAGCTGGACTTAGAATCAAACCCACGTAAGAGAGATTAACAGGAAAAAATCAAATTTAATAGGTGTACTTACAGGGAATCCATACAGACAGGCGATTCCAAAGACAATTAGGCACCGGGAAGCTTTTAAGAGCTAAGGAGAGGCGTGTGTGTGTGTGGGGGGGGTGTCTGAGGACACAAAGGGGGAGAAAGACCATTAGCAAGGAGGTGAAAGGGGGTGTTTGGAAAAACACGGTTGCCATATTATGCAGATGAGTTCCTTAGGTAAAAGGGAGTGTTTTTTACTAGCTTTCTTCCCCTTACAGACTCTCCTTTACAATGTAAATTTAGGCAGTTGTGGGGGAGGCAGAGAACTTTTCCTGCATCTGCTGGGTTTTGATTACTTTAAAAAAAAAAGATTTAATTTTAGAGCATGGGTGGGGGGTGGGGACAGAGGGATAAGGAGAAGCAGATTCCCCGCTGAGCAGGAAGCCCAATGCGGGGTTCCATCCCAGGGCCCTGGGATGGTGATCTGAGCCACTCAGCCACCCCTGGGTTTTGATTACTTTTAACTCAAAATAATGTTTATGCCAAAGGGGCCCATCTTGGGGTTGCCTCCTCTTGCGCCCTAATACCCTAAGAAGGTTTATCATCACTTATTTGTCAGTGCTTCCCATGTAATTTAACATGCCAAATAAACGTATTTCGTTCTACATCTATTTTTTACAATGTAAGAGACAAATCCTTTGAGATTTTCCAGGGACCCTCAGAGAAATCTAGGTTGTTATAATGGCAAAGACACCATTTAGAATTTGATTTTGGAAAGTTGTCAAAATGTCAAAAATTTTGAGCACTTGACTAAACAGGATCGTAGATCATTATGAAATAGTGATTCACATAACCAAAGTGGCAACACAAGATTTTAAAGGCAAATCCAAAAGGTTACATAGTTGAGAACAAAATTTAACTCGGAAATATAGAAGACTCCCTTCTAAGTAATTAAAATCTTGATACAGATGACACTTAAGCACAGAAAATTACTTTGATAAGACACAAAATCTTTGCTTTCTGGGCAGATTACTTAAAAAGTAAAGACAAACTTTTCACAGCCTCTCTATAGACCAATATTTCAAGAAAAGTTTGTCCTTTTAACAGGGAGAAGACCAAATTCTAATTTTGCATGTGTACTTGTGATATTTAGACTCATTCTTTAAAAACTTAAATTCATTCCAGTCTTAGCCTGCTTGCTCACGCAGAAAATTCCTTTCCCAAGACTCCTTTTCTACAACCTTCCCATCCATTCAGGTTTTACCTCTTTCTTATCCTGGAACAACCAGTCATTTTACTCTAGGACACAGTTACACTTTTTTTCTTTTTTTTTTTTATTTTTTTATTGTTATGTTAATCACCATATATTACATCATTAGTTTTTGATGTACTGTTCCATGATTCATTGTTTGTTCATAACACCCAGTGCTCCATGCAGAATGTGCCCTCTTTAATACCCATCACCAGGCTAACCCATCCCCCTACCCTCCTCCCCTCTAGAACCCTCAGTTTGTTTTTCAGAGTCCATCATCTCTCATGGTTCGTCTCCCCCTCTGACTTACTCCCCTTCATTCTTCCTCTCCTGTTATCTTCTTCTTTTTCTTTTTTCTTAAAATATGTTGCGTTATTTGTTTCAGAAGTACAGATCTATGATTCAACAGTCTTGCACAATTCACAGCACTCACCGTAGCACATACCCTCCCCAGTGTCTATCACCCAGCCACCCGATCCCTCCCACCCCCAACCACTTCAGTAACCCTCAGTTTGTTTCCTGAGATTAAGAATTTCTCATATCATTGAGGTCATATGATACGTGTCTTTCTCTGATTGACTTATTTCACTAAGCATAAGACCCTCCACATCCATCCACGTCGTAGCAAATGGCAAGATCTCATTCCTTTTGATGGCTGCATAATATTCCATTGTGTATATATACCACATCTTCTTTATCCATTCATCTGTCGATGGACATCTTGGCTCTTTCCACAGTTTGGCTATTGTGGACATTGCTGCTATAAACATTGGGGTACACGTACCCCTTCGGGTCCCTACATTTGTATCTTTGGGGTAAATACCCAGTAGTGCAATTGCTGGATCGAATAGTAGCTCTAATTTCAACTGTTTGAGGAACCTCCATACTGTTTTCCAGAGTGGTTGCACCAGCTTGCATTCCCACCAACAGTGTAGGAGGGTTCCCTTTCTCCACATCCCCGCCAACATCTGTCGTTCCCTGACTTGTTAATTTTAGCCATTCTGACTGGTGTGAGGTGGTATCTCACTGAGATTTTGATTTTGATTTCCCTGATGCCGAGCGATGTTGAGCACTTTTTCATGTGCCTGTTGGCCATTTGGATGTCTTCTTTGGAAAAATGTCTGTTCATGTCTTCTGCCCATTTCTTGATTGGATTATTTGTTCTTTGGGTGTTGAGTTTGATAAGTTCTTTATAGATTTTGAATACTAGCCCTTTATCTGATCTGTCATTTGCAAATATTTTCTCCCATTCTGTCGGTTGTCTTTTGGTTTTGTGGACTCTTTCTTTTGCTGTGCAAAAGCTTTTTATCTTGATGAAATCCCAATAGTTCATTTTTGCCCTGGCTTCCCGTGCCTTTGGCGATGTTTCTAGGAAGAAGTTGCTGCGGCTGAGGTCGAAAAGGTTGCTGCCTGTGTTCTCCTTTAGGATTTTGATGGACTCCTGTCTCACGTTTAGGTCTTTCAACCATTTGGAGTCTATTTTTGTGTGTGGTGTAAGGAAATGGTCCAGTTTCATTCTTCTGCATGTGGCTGTCCAATTTTCCCAACACCGTTTGTTGAAGAGACTGTCTTTTTGCCATTGGACATTCTTTCCTGCTTTGTCAAAGATGAGTTGACCATAGACTTGAGGGTCCATTTCTGGGCTCTTGATTCTGTTCCATTGATCTCTGTGTCTGTTTTTGTGCCAGTACCATACTGTCTTGATGATGACAGCTTTGTAATAGAGCTGAAAGTCCGGAATTAAGATGCCACTGGCTTTGCTTTTCTTTTTCAACATTCCTCTGGCTATTCGGGGTCTCTTCTGGTTCCATACAAATTTTAGGATTATTTGTTTCATTTGTTTGAAAAAAGTGGATGGTATTTGGATGGGGATTGCATTGAATGTGTAGATTGCTCTAGGTAGCATTGACATCTTCACAATGTTGGTTCTCCCAATCCATGAGCATGGAACGTTTTTCCATTTCTTTGTGTCTTCTTCAATTTCTTTCATGAGTATTTTATAGTTTTCTGAGTACAGATCCTTTGCCTCTTTGGTTAAATTTATTCCTAGGTATCTAATGGTTTTGGGTGCAATTGTAAATGGGATCGACTCCTTGATTTGTCTCTCTTCTGTCTTGGTGGTGGTGTATAGGAATGCCACTGATTTCTGTGCATTGATTTTATATCCTGCTACTTTACTGAATTCCTGTATGAGTTCTAGCAGTTTTGTGGTGGAGTCTTTTGGGTTTTCCACATACAGTATCATATCATCTGCAAAGAGTGAGAGTTTGACTTCCTCTTTGCCGATTTGGATGCCTTTGATTTCTTTTTGTTGTCTGATTGCTGTGGCTAGGACTTCTAATACTATGTTGAATAGCAGTGGTGAGAGTGGACATCCTTGCCGCGTTCCTGACCTTAGGGGAAAAGCTCTCAGCCTTTCCCCATTGAGAATGATATTCG